CTACCAGATTAAAGAAGGCCCTGCACCCAAATAAGGTAATTAGCTCAGTTGCCAAAAAGGCCCTTGCGATCGCCACTACTGGTAAGGTAAAACAACCTTCTAGGTCTAGTGGGAGCACGGAAAGACCGGCAGTCATTCCCTCTCTCATAGAATGAAGAAAAATACAAAAGTTTGACATAGTTCTTTTTTCAAGGCCTAACAAACTGAAAGGGCTTTGCGAAAGAGTAAATGAGTGTAAAAGCAGAAGGAAGAAAAACTGGCTGTAGAGTTACGCTGAAAAATTAATTTGCCTAATGCTCAGAAGGTGTAGTTTACGGCATTCCCCTCTCATGCAATAAGAAATAAGATAGGCCAGATTGGGAGGTACATTAATGAGAGCTTAAAAGAGCATAATTATGCTGTGTCACTTCTAACGCATCCAGCTCGTTTGGCTTCGCACTGCGCAAAATGTAAGTGCACAGCGATGTTTCCCTGACACAAAACTTTTGGCGCGATCTATTGATCAGACGGAAAAGGAAATTACAGAAATTTTTTTGCATGCATATAAGTGGAAGGTGCATAACACTTCTTCGATGGCTGTTTACCTGAAAAAAAAAAAAAGGACTTTTTGAAGGAAATCGTACCACTGCATACGTAATTCTTGCCACGTTTCAGTGAAATTGCTTGATGCCCGGACATGTTTATTTTTCGTATACTGTTTTCTATCACTGAATTCCTCTCTTTTTTTTCTTTTGTCTCATACATAAGGCTGTTCACAATCAAAGTACTTGCTGGTTTGCGTACCATTCTGCGTCCTCTTTTGTTTTTTCCTCACCCTGCAGAGCATCACAAGCATGAAAATAAAGAGGCCACATTTTACCAGCACTGTTGTAACGCAGCTTACCAAGATGATGTCACCATGTTTGCTCAGATCTTGCGAAGCCCTCTAGCCACAGCATTTGTTCTTAGCCAAAAAAGTGCTATTTGCATTCACTTTTGACAATTCTCACATTATCTTTCAATTTAAGCAGTCCACACATGCTCCAGTACTTTTTTTAACATCTCTTAAATTAAAGTGACCAAGCGATATGATGTCAAGGTGGGAGAGCTTATTACCGTATTTACTTGCATAATCCTCAAACTTTTTTTGGCGGAAAACCGATGCAAAGTTGGGGGGTGCGAGAATTACGCGGAGAAAGCTTTCCAAGAAAACGAAGTGGCCGCAAATCGGGATTCTCACACCAGCAACTAACAGCAAGCTTTGAGAAGTACTAATTAAAACTTACCTCAACTTTAAAAGCACTGGTTCAACACAAGGCAAGATTTATTTGAGACACTAAAGGTGCAAGCAATTAGTCGAGAATTAGAATACTGTACGCAAAGCTTGTGGGTGTTGTGGCCCTAGCGGTAGCATTCGTCGCGCAACAGGAGCCCTCAAAAGGTAAGCGTAAGAAGTCAGTATTGGGCTGATGGCTATTTAATATAATCGTCCGCAGTTACCTTCTGAAGAAAGAACGTTTACGACCAATCACAGTTGTAAACACACGGCAGGCCCAACGCGTCTTGGTGGCTTTCAGCTGCGGTCACCAGTAGCGAACACAAAACTCGTAGACTCCGAAGGGCCTACCGGCGGCCCTGTTGTCATTGTTTAGTGCATGATCTATCACTTTCCACTTGAAAGCAGCCGTGTAGCTTCAGTATCATCCCATAACGTGACATGATTACCAACACAACATACAAAACACGCCGCAACATGCACTAGCCACTTTGGCTTGGATTGGATTGAATCTCCGTGCAGTAATAGTACGCTTGATGCTTAAGAGATGGCACCAGATGACGCTTGCTACTATCATCACTGGCTGGAACGAGCAGACGACATTATTGTGGCAGTTTTTTGGGGTGTGATAATTACTCGAGAAAAAAAAAAAGAAGTCGTATTTTTGTCGGACGATATGGGAGGTGCGAGGATTAAGCGAGTAAATACGGTAGCTGCTCCAGAGACTTCCCCAATCCCTCCACTTTGCACACAAGCACTAAATGAAATTGCCTTTTTGAATCTCTTGAAACTTCAAAATTCAATAAAGTGTACAACAGTTACATTATGCACTTACATTAAGCCTGCTTGCACTTCCGGAAAATGATGAATAATTTAGAGAATAATAAATTTCAAATATTCAGCTTTGCACAAATCATCCAATTCTTAAACACGGTGCCCTCAAGCCATAGATGAGCAACACAAAATGTGGCACTGAATCACACTCGCTAGAGAAATATATTTTATGCTTAGGGGGGGAGGTGGCATTGAAAAAAAACTTTTTTATTTGTTGACCTACAGCAATGAAATTTGGCATGCATACTCATAAGTGTCTAGAATAGGGAAATATGCAGTTTCATCATGATAGCTTCAGTAGTTCTTAAGTTACATAATGCTACACGATCCAATTATATGGTCTGCTCGTGGAAAGCCTAGCGCTGCAACAAAACATGCCAGGAAGTTGGAACGGTGTTGATCTTTACTCAAAAGAAAGCTACAGGGTATGGCACTCTCGGAATTTTTTAATAAGTTCTCTTTTTTTTTTTAGAGATCATCATGGCTGCCGACACACATTGTCAGAAACAATGACACGGACAAATCATTGTCTAGAAAAATAACAAGGCCACAAAACAGAAATTGAAGATTGCTGTACCCACAAGCAGTGTTCAGGGATTCAGGGAAAAAAATCAGAATCAAAATCGGTCCAGTCATTCTTGTGCTACTCTTTCGACGAGCAATGCACAATGTCCAAAACACACTTGTGAGAAAAAGCCTGTCGAAGTTTTCGACAGGCTTTTTTCAATGAACTTTTTTGTTTCTCGTTGGATATTGATGAAAATTGGCACAGACACTAAGAATGACATCACAGTGCTTCCATAAAAATTTTGAAGTGATACCACAAATACTTTACAAGAAACAAATTATTTCTTCATTGAACCATGTGGAGGGCCTGAGCATAATGTCAAAAAAAAAAACAGTATTGAGAAAGCTGCGTTTAAAGTTTCAACTTTTCTTTACGTCTCTAAGACGCCTAAAAATTGTGATCTCAGGTTTGTCTTGTGATATTTGACTTCTTTTCATGATTTACTCCTTTTCATGAGTTACAAAGAACACGTATGGATTTCAAACCAAGTTCTTTGTATGAAGGAGTGGTGTGATAGGTATGACATAAAAGATTGTAATTGAATAAAACCATATACTGAAATTATTACACATACTTTTTTTTTGTGCTGAAGTTGTAATTAGCATAATTAAGTACTTGATTACAAATATTCACTGAACTTTTTTTTTTTTTGGAGAGAAGTTTATTGCATCAGAAAAATGGATCACACCATGACGGCCTATGCCTTTTTTCTAAATAACAAAGTTATGGGCAAAAGACTGGTGGCACGGGAATTTCCACCAGTATAATTAATGACACGAAACGGGCATATAAAAATTCATGCACCTGATTCACACATGCTCTTTCGCCGCTCTAGCCGTGAAACGCATCATCTTACAGCCGGTCGCGGAAACTCTAATCTACAGCAATTCATTAACCTCGAAACATTCATAGACGTTCGTGGCGATATCAAGCACAGCTCCAAGCACGTCTGAATCGCATCACACAAGCGTACTGACAGCACTCCATATGACCGTGGGGTGCGCAGCCGTGTGGACAGTGCAGCCGGCGCGTAATGCACTTGCCGGCGGCGTTCGATGACGATGCACGAAATGTGTAACTACGAAGACAAAAAATCGGCACGCACTGCACTTGGAATCGCATTTTCGAATGACGACGCGCAAAACTGCTAGCCGCTGTACCGAGCGATCCTTGGCAGTGAGGGGGGGGGGGGGGGTGACGAGCTTGACTGTGTTGTCCGCTGCCGATGCGTAAAATGCCCGTACAATATTCAGAGGAGCTAGCGAGTGATGTGGTACATTCCTTGCGAAGAAGCACGTCACCAAGAGTGCGCTTGCGCGTCGTTCGTGCCCGCAGTCTCGCTGTCAGCAGAGTTAGGCCTAAAGCTGACTCCAATGATGCGCCACACTCGTAGACCGCCGCGCGCTCACTCGTAGTAATCTGATCGTGCATCTGGTGCGGCCACTCGTAGTAATCAGATCGTGCCACCGCTTACAGCTTCGTTGCTTGCGAAGAAGCGCGTTGCCACGAATGCGCTAGCGCGTCGTTCCTGCCCGCAGTCGGCAGAGTTAGGGCTAAAGACGACTCCAATGACGTGCGGCGCTCGTAGACCGCGCTCACGCTCGTAGTAACCTGATCGCGCATCTGCTTACTGCTCGTAACTAAAGCGTAGTTATATCTTAAGTGATTATCAAGCCGTGAACACATCACGATGTGGCGATTTTCGAGAGCCATGTCCTCACGACGCACAAGCAGCAGACGACAATCTCCCGGAACGAGCATCGGGCCAATGGCGAGGCGAGCTGAGGCAACATGCGGCCACGGCCAATCAAGGGCCTCAAAACGACCTTCAAACATTTGCTTTTTGCTCGCTTGTTGTTAAAGGGAGGAGCCAGCTGAGGCGGAAAAGTTAAACACGGAGAAATGCTCTTTCCGATGAGCCCAAGAAGCCGGCTCCCGGCCCAAGCATCGCGAACCTATAATTTTTTTAAAATCGCCGTTTTCTCGCCATTTCCAGAAAAACTTTTGCTACCTAGGTGGGTGAAACGAATTTTCCGAAGCACTTCTGCGCGGTTTTCAGTGTAGATATTTTGGAACCAGATAGAAAAAGGGTTCCAGAAACTGAAAACTTGAGTTTAAAAAAATTGATTTTTTTGCCATTTTTCGCGATCCCAAAGCCGCGTCCCCCCTTAAGGCTCACTAAGACTCAGCGTCCCCAAAAATTTCCACTACTGTAGCCACCTGAACTCAGCAAAATCTTCCCCAAGTGGACTCACTTGGGCTCAAACTCACTCGGACTCGAAGCCCGATCAGAATTCGAGTGAGTCAACTGATATGTTCTGCAACACTGCCTGCATATCTCACCTGAGGATGCTGCTGCTCCAGCTGTATGGCAGGTGTCTGCAGAGGCAGGAGCCACAAAGGTCTGTGAACGGACTACTGCAGTAGGCTTTTTCACCTCAACTTCCAGGCTTTGGCCTCTTTCAGTCAGCCTAGGACATAGTTAATTATAACATGCAATCACAGATGCACACACCTGCCCTTCATGCTACACGAACATCATGTCGAATGGCACAATTATTCACACTATAATGAAGGAATGAAGACAACAACAAGGAACAATGATCATCATCACGAGAGAAAGGCACCACGAGATTGGTGCTCGAGCACCACTATCTTCTTTGCCCTGTGTCTATTTCCGATTTATCGCGTATTCGTTAGGCTCGCCCTACATTTGGTGGAGGTGCTGGGTTTCCACATCACCTACGGCCTGCAACTCCAACCCGCACACTGCTGTCGACCATGCAAGTTCATCCTGCCCAACAGATACTGCCTCTTGTGGCAGCTGTTAGCCCCGGCTGGTTTCGCCAACAAGACTCCCTAATAATTGCAGGCACGAATGATCAGGATGTTGAGGACTGGCTGTCGTCCTGCAAAAAAGTCAATAGACCCAAGAGGTGGGATGACACTGCTAATTAGGGCACTGTCAACTTTTACCTCATTAAGGTGGCCAAGCTGTGGTACACAAACCACGATACTTTCAAGAAGGCAATAATCACTGTTTTCAATTGCCCAGCCGTACGAAAGTAATGCACCAAATATTTGCACATACAGGCACAGGAACTACGTGAAACTTTTACCGCATACATTGCAGATGTAATCGATCGCTGCTAGCCCATCAATGTCTCAATGAGCGAAAGTTCCAAGATACAGCATGTTACAAAGAGCGTTTATGACTATGTTTTCAGACGCTCCTCGCAAAGTCTCCTAGCACTGTGTCTTGAAGTGATGACTTTGTGCGGCAGCTATGATGAATTGAGGAGGCAACAAGCTCTCACATGATGTTCATCCCAGATGATCCAACACTACAATGGACGTCATGCCTGACCAGTCATACCTTCTCGCACAAATGAAAGACTTCGTGGGTGAGGAAGTGACTTGTCGGCTTTCTCTACGGCATTTTGGCTCATTGCCAGAAGCTCTCACAGCAGCAGCCACTGTGGAAATAAAGGCCGTTGGCTCCCATGCAATGACATGTGATCCAGGCGCAGATTTCTGAGGCTATCACGTTGACCTTTCAGTAGCACCCTGTCACCGCGCCTCTTACTTACGCTGTGGCACTAAAGCAGCAGCAGGTACACCAGCCCTCACCATTTCATGGAATGCCGCATATCTCAGCCGCGACTCAGCCGTCCACTGCATGGGCCGCTCTCTTTACCACAAATGCCGGTAGAACGCGTGATAACTAGCCGATTGGTTTTGTATACGGCTATCCTGGCCATATCGCTCGACACTGCCATCGTCATGTAGCAGGATACGCAGACACCCGGGCACAAAACAGCTAGATGGACCTTCCTGCTATCTCGTTATCAAAGCTCGGATCTTCAATCAAACAGCTCTTCCCGTGACTATTGGAAATCTACATCTAGTCTCTCACCTCTACCTATCCGCCGCTCCGTGTCACCCATGCGTCGGCGACCAGCTTCTGAAAACGACGGAAACTAGCCGCCACAGTTCAGGAGGCTAGAACTGGGCTGTTGAATTGCTCAAGTCCTTGAAATTCGGCATAGAATATTAGTGAAGTTCTTGTAGAAGGTACTCAGCCATATGCTCTTGTCGATATTAGTGCTGTCATTTCTGTTGTAGGTGCCAAACTTTGCCACAAGCTTCAAAAAAATTACCACGCCTCTTGATAATATGTTCTTGCATACAGCGAATGGAGAACCTGTTCGGCCTGTAGCCATCTGTACTGCCCTGATGATCGCGAAGGACTGATACACTGTTAAGTTTATCGTCCTTTCATAATGCTCGCACGGCATCATAGTTGGCTGGAATTCATACCCGGCTGAATCGGACAATGTGTTTAACTTTTGTATACATGGTATCGCTTCATGCCATTGGCTGTAGTATTTTGTTATACTGTGAGATGGTGAAGCACCACATGCCTTTATGGTACAAATAATCTGTTCGCCGTAGCCAAACTTGTGAACGGAGCAGGAGCCTCTGTCAGGCCTCGGTGCCTGTTACTCTTGCCACCTTTCTGTAATGTTATCAAATAAAGCTGTATTATGATTTGTCACGTGACCACGTGTAATTGATTATTCAATATATGAACTTGAACTCTTCCTGTTTTACGACCAACCCTCCAAGCACACTCAGCCCACCATGCACAAACTAGTAGTCAAAGGAGGCACTGAAATTCCTGTGACAGCGATGTTTTGCTCCCCATGTTCTGTGACATTTATGATGAAGCTGCATTCTTTGAACAATCAAACTTCTTGTTCAGACGGCAACCACTTCTTCTGCCTTATTCGAACCTACCCATTTCTGAAGGCAACAGCGCTATGTGCTTCATCAATCTCCTTCCGTATCCCGTTCAACTGCTTAAAGGTGAATCTTTTGGACATGTGCAGGCCATTGGCAAAAGACCAAATGTCACCATGCCGCAAGATTCTGACAATGGCCACGACGCCATCAGTGCTCTGAGCCATCTTAAATGTGCCACTTTCGAAGCTATTCCATTTATCGATCGTAGATGGACTGTCACCATCTGAATGCTCCGATCTTCTCCAGCTGCTGTACCAGTTCCGCCAATCCTTTTATGTTGCTCAACCTGCCCAGGGCGGAACTTCTACTATGCTTCACTACATCGACACAAGCTCCGGCAGGTCAGTTAAACAGCCATCATACCATGTTTCCACCGCCAAATGTCAGGTTATCACCAAGCGAATGACGATATGCTAAAGCTCGACGTTATCTGACTTTCAGCAAGTCCGTGAGCATCAACTATTGTTCTAGTTAAGAAGAAGGATGTTCCAATTCGCTTCGGCATGACTCCAGGCGCTTAAATAAGATCACTCGGAAAGACGTATACCCTTGTCCAGGATTGATGATGCGCTTGATTGTTCACAAGGTGCAGAGTTTTTTTTTTTGTCGTTACATATGTGTATAGTGAAAGCACATTAATTTTCCCCTCGTTAATTCGAACTTTCAGGTTAATTCAAACTGATGGGCGTGGTCCAGCCACGATGTATAGGCGCCTATAAGTTAACAAACTCGTTAGTTCACGCGCGTATCGGCTCCTCTATCGATAATTCGAACTGCGCGCCACTGCGTAGTGGTATTTTATGCTGCCGCCTAAGCTTTATGGCTATACGATAGGTGGCGCGAACGCTGAGCGCAGGCGCAATTCAATCTAATCCAATCCAGCGCCTGCATACGCGGGCATAGGGCGTCGTTGCGCGGCTGCGGCATACTGCGCCGACTGCGCGCGCTTTTTGCATCGTGTGGCGGTTCGTGCCGAACGCTTTTCTGTGTCCTTTGTGTGCCGCCTATTCAGTCGCTAGGCCTCGTGTGCGTCAAAGCTACGAATTCCTTTAGCGCCGTGGGTTTTGTGATGGTGTTGCCTTCGACTGCTGGGCCTAGCATACTGCACTTACTATGACTTTTCGCGGAAGAGAACAGGGCACCAAAACGCTCAAAGAGAAGGTAGAAATCTTTTGTGAAAAAACAGTGGCAAAAAAAGCAAGCTTGAAACCACAAGAAAGCATGGCATCCCAAAAAGCACTCTTTCAACATATATAAAGAATGCGAGAGCGATTGAGGAGGCCTACGCAACTGATGCATTCACTGGCAGTCGCAAGAGGCTTCGCAAGGCGAAGCACCCGGAATTAGAGCGCGCAGTGCTCACATGGATCAAGGAAACGAGGAGCCAGAACATCCCATTGAGCGGCCCTATCGTTATATCGAAAACAGCAAACTTCGCTCTTCGCCTGAAAAGTGATACTTTTAAAGCTTCAGAGGGCTGGATTCATCGTTTCTGAGACAGGCACGAGAGTGTATTCCACACCGTGTCTGGCGAAGGCAAAGACGTGAACAGCAAGACATGTACAAAGTGACAAAGTGGTGCTTTGCAAGAACTCCTTCAAGAGTATTCGCCGCACGATATATTTAGTGCCGATGAAACGGCATTATTTTATAAGCTGCTGCCGAGTAAAACGTTGACCTACACAGGCGACACCTATGCTGGCGGGAAGAAGCAAAGACTGCGTTACTGTTTTGGTCGCAGCAAACATGACCGGGACCGAAAAACTACCACTGCTGATCATAGGTGAGGCCCTGAAGCCTTGTTGCTTCAAGAACGTCCGCACACTACAGGCAGAGTATACAGCCAACACCAAGGCATGGATGATGCGGGAAATATTCAAACAGTGGCTGATAAAGCTTGACCGCAAATTTGAATTAGCTGACAGAAACGTGCTCTTGGTAGTCGACAACTGCTGAGCGCACGTGCTTTATGTGGACTTGAAGGCGATGAAGCTCTCGTTTCTGCCTCCGAACACAACGGCGTCCTTGCAACCAATGGACCAAGGGGTAATTAAGAACTTGAAATGCTTTTACAGGCACCACATGATGGAGCATTTGGTGTTGTGCACCGCCGGTACAAAAGCCTATGATGTGACACTGCTCTCGGCCTTGCATATGTTGGTGCGGGCCTGGGTTCAGGTCACGGCAACAACTCTTGTCAATTGCTTCCGTCACAGTGACTTTTGTGTGACCATTGAGGGCACAGCTGACGATCTCGACAAGCGCGAGGCCGACGTCATTCCTGACTGACCGCTGGATGCGCTTGGTGACGTGAACTTCGGCAAATAAGTCGATGCAGATTGCAGTGCAGTGGTCTGGAGCACTATCATCGACGACGATATCATTGTGCAGGCGACTGCCGGAGAAGTGCTCGTCGACGGCGTGGGTGAGGACGATAAAGATGAGGCGCCAACGCGGCCAACAGCTTCGGAGGTAATGAAGGCTATGCGTGTCGCGTGCCTCTTCTTCAGCTTCGAGGAAGATGAAGAAGATGCTTTCCGCCACGCTCGCGCATTAGAAAACAAAGCTATGACAATCAATTTCAATGAAAAGAAGCAGAAAGTAATCACAGATTACTTTTCGCAAATTTTGTCTGATTTTCAGATAACCCAGTTTCAATTCTTGCTGTTTTTTCAATAAATTAGTTAGTTCAAATTGGTTTAATTTGAACTCATTGGACATCCCCGTAAAATTCGAATTAACGAGTTTTTACTCTACGTGGTATTAGCAGGTGCCCTTAGCAGATGCCGATCTAAAGCAGGTCCAAAGACAGCCTCTGTGACACACAACACACTATACGAATCCAATGTCATGCCTTTCGACCTCTGCAATGCGCCGGCCACCTTCAAGCGAATGATGGACTCAGTTCTATGAGGTTTTAAATAGAACGGATGTTTCTGCTACCTCGACGACATTGTTGTCTTTGCACCCAACTTAGCAACACACCTTGCGCGCCTGAGACATGCACTGACGTGTCTCCAGAATGCTCAGCTTCAAGTGACTCCAACTTTGCTGTGCGAAAGCTCGAAATTTGCAGTCATGTCATATCAGAGGATGGTGTACTATTAGACCAGGCTAAACTACTTGCTGTCACTGTCGAGCAGTTATGGAGTTTTATAAGATTACGCTCCTACTTTCACCGGTTAGCCATCGTAATGATCTATGGTGGCTACAACCTTGCATGTGCTTTATCGCAGAAGCAGAAAAAGAATGTGTGGTCTGGGGCGCCCTTGTTTTTCATCGTTATCAGCGGCTACGGCACACACCAGCACTGGAAAACGATCAAGCCTCAACACCAAGAAAGGTCACTGAAACATGAGCACATTTCGACAGCAAGATTGATGGTGCAAGTCCCAAAATCTGCCCTCCTTCAGATGTCATTCTAAATGGATACGTCCTCGCAGTTACTAGGATTGAATTTGCAAACAGTGAAACTACCATGGCACTTCCTTGCTCCCCACTTGAGAAACTTCCGGTGGTACTCACTTGGAGAAACGCCTCTCCAGAACCTTCTGCGTGGCCAGGGAGATCTTTTTTGGTGCCTGAAATACAAGCGGTGGATTACAACACAAAGTGCAAGTCGACACAAACTTCCAAATGCAGCAAACCAGTTCCACAGTTCCCACGCAAAGGAAATCTTTTCAGCAGAGGGCAGCCCTAAATAAACCCAGACTGGTTTGCTAGCAACAAAGCTTAACAGCCAAATAAATATATCCACACGAAATCATCTTTGGGTGTTTTTGCAAAGACAGCGTAGAACAATCGTACTGTCAAAGCCTGCTACAACAAAACTGACGGGTTGCGCAAAAAAAATTCATTTTTGTGAAATTTAGTTGCAGTGACCTTCCATATAAAGACCACGAAATTGCCGTAAAAGTCCCCATATAGCCTGGGGTGTTTTTTCTAGATTAGGGTACGAAATTTTTCAACCCTGTACTATATGTGAGTCCCAAGAATTTTCGACCAAAATTTAGTTTTGAATTCGGCATAGCGCAGTGCTATTATCATCATCCAGTGTTTACGCGCTTCTGTGCTTAGTGCTACGTAGCGTTAGCAGCAGTAGCAGGCACTAGTCTTACAGACCCATGCATGCAAAAGTGGTCAGTGGCCCTTGATTCAACTTGGCACCCATAACAACGGCCACAATTTTACCCCTGTGATTTTACATCATGTCAGCACCGTACAGGCAGTACTCGGCTGCTTTTAAAAGGAAAGTCATCACTGCTGCCGAAACCACTGGCAACTGTGCCGCAGACTGGCAGTTTGGAGTCAATGGTCGGAGTATTCGCGGTTTGTGGAAGCAGAAGGACACCCTCTTTGCTTACAGTGGCCAGTGAAAAAGTTTCCGTGGACCAAAAAATGAAGCATTTCCTGATGTGAAACGAGAACTCGCAGACTTTGTGCGGGAGCAGCGAGCTACACATCTCGCTGTTAACATCGAGCTACTACAAGGTAGGGCAAAGGAGATCGCACGAGACAAAGGCGTTCAGCCGGAGCATTTCAAACCGAGCACACAGGTACCAGCGCACAGGTCTAGCTTGGACTCTGTTTACTAAAACCTCCAGAGCACTAAAAAATGACCAGTCTAACATACAGTCCTAATACGTTGGAAACAGCAGCCGGTTTTACGAAAAACGACAATAAAATCCTAACTAGCGGCTCAGCACAATGCCCACTGCCACAACTCTGTGGACAGGGTATGGACACAAAGAAAGAGAAGCTTCTCGGAAAACACGACAAAAGTCCTTAACTTAGCCCTTCTGCTAAATGATGCAGCTTTAGCTGATAATGACAACAGGAGTACGTACAGTCCTATCTTAGCAGCGGAACACGGCCTTCACAACTCGCTACACAATGAGCCGAGGCTAATCGCGAAAGCGACGCTGCTTTAATAGATTTTTGAGCTTTGTTTCGTTGGAAATAAAATATTTTCTAAAGTTTCTGGCAAGATTCCTGAAATTGTGAGAGGACGAAATTTGAAAATTTTACAAAGAATTTGACAGAGGTGGCCAATATGTTATCAGTAAACTTTATTACTATTTCTTGGTGCGATAGGCAGCACGGGCTTCAGTAAATACCGCTCACAATCGGCCACCTTCATACACACGGCATGAATGTGCCCACAGTACGCTGACGCTTCTCACACAGAAGATACATGGGAGTCCCTTCTGTATATCACTGAATCGACACAGCAACGCCGAGTAATCTCACCCGTATTAGAGGCCGCGGTGTCCCAAGGGATCCCCGCTGACCTCCTCTAAGCAGCGTAACCGACCTCTCGACCGGTTCCCTCTTTTGGTAGTAATAAAGTTTTGATCATCATTGTCATCATCATCAGTTCTGAAGCTTCCACAGTGCTGTCAAGAAAAGTTGTCACGAAGTGTAGCAGCACACGGCTTGTAGCTACACAATACTTGAAAAGGGGCCTCACCGTGCAACCCTTGGCAGTTCTGACAGGATGATGCCGCGATCGCATCTGGGAGATCAGCTGCATTCTCTCAGACAGAGGAATGCTGAAGAAGACATCATGGAGCTCGTGGCATGCTGATGTAAGCTGTGGTTGTAGCAAAGAAAAGGAAGATGAATACACACATCAACAAAAATAAAGCTGCACAATGCATTGACCGCTGTTCACAGTCAATACAGCCCACAGTTGCAAAATACCAAGTCTCCAGTACTGTACTAACACTTGCAGCTTGTTTTGTGCAACTTTCACTTTGTGATTTACTATCTCATCCATAATTCTAAATTCAATCGGCAGACAAGGATTGCAAATTGAAAATCACGGAACACTTCTTAATGAATGCCATAATTTGTCATTAGTACACAATTTGATTGTTCTGCCAGTCTTAGACTATGCTGCTGTAATAATGGACCCCTATGCAAAAGGTAATACTCTGAAACTATAAAATGTTCAGAAAAGAGCCATACAGCTCCTCTATAATGATTTCTGACGCAATTCAGTACGTGATCTGCAAAGCTCGCACAAACCCAATGCCCTTAGCCGAAAAAAACCACTCGTCACATTTAAAACTCTGACATCAGTTAAGGGGCACTTTCACGTCAACATTAGCGAATAGATTTCATTCTCTTCAGGTTATTCATTGCTCCAAAGGCATGAACTAGAAATCACTCCTTTCCATTCTCACAAGGACTGTTTCAAGTATTCTTTTTCCCACGAACAGTCGCAGATTGAAATAACCTTAGCAGCAACATCATTCAAGAAGCTTAGTTACTTTTTCGTAGTTACTGTCTGTTTACATCTCCATTGCCTGTTGCTTTGTTTCATTTACACCTATGATAAATGCTTTGCTTTGCATGATAAATTGAACATGAATTTGTGATGTTTAGTGCATGTGTGAGTTTTCTCATTATTTACTTTTATTATTATTATTGTAATCTTCCTGTTGATTTATTTTGAGTGCTATTACAGTGGACTCTCAGTAAATGAAAATCTGTTGCTTTAATGGAACAAGTGCTTATGATACGACTGGTTTCATACTTGAAAGCTGCAACCCAGTTGAGCTCTCAGTGAACAGAACTCCTGGTAAACGAAACACATTTAATGTTTATACAGTAGACTCTCATTAAACGGTTTAATGTATTTTCGTTCATGCATTGTATCCCACCCTGCTAAAACTCCTGAAAGGGTTGCAGTGCCAATAAATAAATTGCAAGTTGAAAAATCACTGATATTTCTTGATGAATGTTGCAATATTGCACACGCATTTAGCCTGACAAATTCAGGCAAGCTAATCTATATGTTTAATGCAACTTCAGTGAAACAAATAAGCAGTGATAGTTGCAACAAATGTTATGGTACCAGAGCCAAAGAAGCACTAGAACATTAGCCTTCTAGAACATTAAAAATGAAAAAAATAGAACATTAAAAATTTTATTCTACTTCTGGTAGCATACATAGCTGAATATGAATGTACCAGGGTTCAAGGTTCAAAGAATTTTAAGGGCCTGTTGAAATTTCAAGGGCCAGAACAGCATTCGCATTAGGATTTTTTCACCATAACAATATATCAAATTCTTGCTAAATTTGTTACACTATGCACACACATTTAACGATGTGATCACATGCTCCTATTACTTTGTTAATTCAGTAAGTAATTGAACTGAGTTTCAATATTCGAAGCATTCAAATATTAGCACAAGCCTAGAATTAACTGGAAATATAAACGCATGTTTGTCCCGATTGGACTTGTACAAGTGGAGTAGAAAAATTCACAATTCATGCGAAACGTATGAAACAGGCTCCCAATCACTCGCACCAAGTTTTGACAATGCCAGGCTTCAAGAATGTTCATCGCCACATTCCCAATGCAACAGTTAAAACATCCTTCAAAATTTCTGCACGACCTTAGATTTCTGCACGACTGTGTCCCATATTCTCTTTACCAATAGACGTCATTGCAAATGGTAATATGGATGCCTCAAGAATGCACACGGGTGGGAGAAAGTCCTTGACAAGTTAAAAAGGAATATATAGCAGAGCATGACGACAGCACAGTTTCACTGCCACTGGAACAGGTGGCACCTCTATTCTATCACATTTAACATTCTATATCTACAGTGATAAGATTTAGGCTTTAGTTTGAATGTAATTATGCATAAACTTGAATAATGCTTGATAAAATTAGATAATCAGGGAATCAACAACAAGCTTTCATTTCTCAGCAAATGCACAGTCAGAGTTTGGAATACAAATGTTTTCACATAAAAGCTTTCCTGCTCAATGACATTGCACATGCATGAGTAACATCTCGCAATAGAACACAAAGCTATACTTATTTGTTTATTTGAAATTCCTTACAAGCCTGTTTGGGCATTGTGTATATGGTGCGGACGTCAGTCAAATCATTTCAGGACATGCTGTGGACCATGCGAGTCAAGCTTGCTTATGAATGTACATTCTACAATCCCTGTCAATGTGGTTGCAACGTTATATGTCTGAGTAAATGAGTTCACCTGTGTGATGAGCCTCTGGTGCAGCTCAACGTCCTGCTGAGTCACCAGTCCTTTGCAGATGTGTGGCTCTACATGTAGACGCAATGCACACTCCAACGTATCCTGCATGTAGGCGTGCCCATTACACACAGCCCACCAAGAAACTTTCAGAAGATAGCAGTGATGTCAACAAAAGGGACATGCAGGCAGGCTGAGCTAGCCCAAAGGGGAGCCAAACCTCTGACTCCATCGCTTTTGAGCACAAAAGCTGGACGTGCTGACAAGTTTGCCACGAACCTAAGCAGTTTCGTGGTGAGAACATGTCATTACTGCTTCTCTCTGTGCTGGTTCTCTCTTTACAGGGATGATCTAGATGTGGTGCAGCAAAGCACTGTGCCCTAGCATGGCATGCTCGCATTCGGTCAACACATGCTACTGCACCCTTAAGGACACGTAGTGGGTGCATAGCAAGTTCGAACAAATTTAATTTATACACTAAGTGTTTTAAGTAGGCACTAAAAACAGATTATTGAGTACAACTCCTAAGCTTAAGGTCCCCCAATTTTCTAAACCTTTTGGGCTTCATGGGCAAGCATAGTTTCATACAGTAATACCTAGAGGAGAATCTGCCGCTAGTGTCTACGTGGGCTGCTTCAGCAAAGCTTGTGCCCTCATGGGAATTATGGGAAGTACAGGCTTCGGATGGATCACGTTCTTGAGATTCCCGACGCTGAAGTTATGTCTAATTGAAACTTTCTTCATTTTTTTGTACGCAAACTTTATTGCAAAAAGGTTTTGTGACTGGGCGGTAGAAGTGAAACCTGGACAAATTTAACCACCAGGGTATTCATTGCTCTGCCATTGCATTCCAGATTTGGCATCAAGATGTAATGAATTATTCTTTGCAGAATTTTAAAACAAACATTCTTGTTTTTCCCTTGAAAGAACACAATAATCATTTATGGAAATGACAGCACTGTATTAAGTGAAAAACACTTAACGTTTCGTCTGCTGTGATGCCAGGTGCGTCTGTTCAAGTGATCTGTCCCCAACGTACCTCTCGTTTTGTTGTGAAGTGAAGTCAGAAGAGCGTGGCAGTGCGACTACTTCGCATCGCCATCGTTTTGAAGTTTACTTCAACGAGTTTTGGTGAGACGCACTAACAACAAATGTGAACTCAATGTAATATTCTGCACTAGCATGGGACGCTACATCTATGCACAGCGGTGAGTAGATGACACTTCGCTTAAACTATTAAACACGACTTATACTGCTCCAGCGTTGCAGTAAATTGAGAGGCCTAGCAGCTTTCAGCTTCTTTGAACAACAAAGGCGCAGCTTCAGTCCTTTGCACCCACCCCACTACCCACTCTATGCATAGAACGAAACTGAAACTGTAGAAAAAGATCCACAGACAGTTTGTTGGCTAACGCGATCCAATCCGAAGCCTGTGCTTCCCATAATTCCCATGAGGGTACACGATCGCAGCGCCAGACTCCTCTCTAGGTAATATTGTACGAAACTCTATGTGGGCAAAGTTTGAAATTTACATGCAAGATCCCTTCCAAGGGTTTGTTACAATATTTAGACAGTAACTTGCAAATCAAAAGAAGCCATATCTGCTGCAAATATGTTCCACGAGCGCAGAAACCACTTATGCTCTTTGATTCAGTGCAATCAAAGATTGTAAAAAGGGTAATTGCAAGTTGTGCCTTCATTCAGTGCTAACTAAATCGTGTCCGCATACAATGCATGAAAGTTTTGAATGAAAGTTTTGACAATCAACTTAGCAGGCTTCCAGCGGCCGGGTTTCGAAGTGAGCTAATCTAAGCAGTGCCTGACAATCTTCTTAAGAATAAAAAAAAAGAAGAAAAACATACTGCCAGCCCCAACTAAACTCTGAAAAAGAAGCACATTGTTGCACCCTATATACTGCCACGTTCCTTTCCTCAAGTTTTGTTAACACCCCGCTACAATACGTTCAGCGCAAAATGCGCCTACGATGGTCGAGAAGCTTCGAGGCTTTATTAGATTGTTTTGTTAGGATTACGCCCACTTCGGGAACGTCACAGATTATTCAAGAACCTATGTCGCCGCTAGCGATAATGCTAGAATATTCTATGGCAAGGGTATAAATGCCGACACGCTTCACCGCTTGTAAGTTGATCGACAGCCGACGCTCTGCTCGCCGCTATCAGGGTGTCTTTTTGTAATCTGATTTTCCGTTTGCATGGCCACAAGTTCGGCTCAAACAAACAGTTTATTATTCGACCTGCAGCTTCTCCCTTCTTCCAAGTCGCAACCCCGTGACATCTAGTGGAGGTGCTGCTTCTTTCATGTACCAAACGCCCCGTCGAGCCGTGAAACCAGCCCACGACGCGAGGAAGACGCCGACACCAATGCTGAACAGCGAGCAAGGCCGTAAGCAGAGGGGACTGCAGCCATAATACTGGCCCCTATCCTAAATAAACCAGGCAGCACCGAATTGTGACATCGACAGCAGCAACAATGACCGCCCCTATGCAGCCTGTCCCAGTGAGTCTCCGGCAACCCAAAGAGCCGCCAACTTTTCGCGGTTCGCCACTGGAAAACCTGGAAAGCTGGATTGAAAGGTTCAACCGCATTGCCACCTTCCATGACTGGACTGACGATGACAAGCACCAGCATGTGTATTTCGCTTTAGAAGATGCTGGTCGGACCTGGTTCGAGAATCAAGAGCAGAGCCTCACCACTTAGGACGTCTTTCACGCCAGGTTTCTCACCACTTTCACAAGTGTGGTCCGCAAGGAGAAGGCTACAGCTCTCCTCGAAACTCATATGCAGATGACAAATGAAAAGAGGGCAATATTCACAGAAGATACAATTAAACTCTTCTGCCATGCAGACCCCAAAATGCCAGAAGAAAAGAAAGTCCGGTTCTTCATGCGAGGAGTCAAACAGGAGCTTTTCACGAGCTGATGAGGAGTCCACCAAATAGCGTTCAAGAATTTGTATTGAAAGCGACTACTATAAAAAAACCCTGGACATGCGTACCAGACAGTACAATTGTCGCTCGACTCCAGACTGCGTAGCTGCTCAAGCCCTTGACTCGAAGACATGCATGAAACGATCTGAGTGATCGAGCAGAAAGAGCTGTGCAAGCTGTTACCTTTGGCGCAGCCTCGAGTGGGTTTGATCCCCGACATTGTGTGAGAAGAAGTTCTGCGCTCCTCCCTGTCCACGCTAAAACGCCGCCCCTTCGCACTTCCGTCGTCAGAAGCCACCACCGCCACCACCATCGACGTCCTACCATTTGCCAGCAGGCCAGCGCACCACGCCGAGAAAAACCGATGTGTGGCGTGCACCTGACAACCGCCCGCTCTGCTACAATTGCGGCGAGGCAGGGCACACCTACTGCCGTTGCCAGTACCGACAGATGCGTCTATGGGGCTTCGAAATCAATGTGCCGTGCCCACAACAGGGTGAACAGCCACATGACATCACCGCCTACCTCGCGGGAGCGCAGTCGACACCCCGGCGACCTTATCGTTCACCGTCGCTAGGCTGCTACGCCTCACCACACAACGGGCAGTACACCGGCCCTGTCCTGGGCCGATCTCTGAGCCCTTACTCGGAAAACTAAGGGCAGCAACCGATGGAGATGCAGTTTCTATACGACGAACTACCGAAGATCCTTTGCCGTCACCGACGGTTGCCCCCACGAAATCAAAAGCACTCGCCGCAAGACAAAACGGGTCTTGACGTTGAACCTTTGCAGCCTGCAAAAGACGTCACGATGGAACGTGGAAGGAACGGAGCAAATAGACGTAGTCGTGACCCCATGCCACGACCCAATCGCAACCCACGACGACCAATCAGCGATCTCGACGTAACATTCGACAACCACCTCGTCACTGCTCTCGTCGATATTGGAGGCAACTTTTCCATCGTCAGTGGTTTTTTCGCGACGAAGTTAAAAAAGTGAGGACTGCACGGCAAGGTCCCGAAATCCGGATCGCTGGAAGTCACTTAATAAGGCCGACTGGAGTCTACACAGCAAGAATTACCATCAATAACCAGATTTATCCAGCGAGCTTAGTATTCTTATAAGATTGCTCCAGGGATGTGATACTTGGAATGGACTTTTTAAGTCAACACGGCGCTATCATCGACCTGAGGTCTGGGTCAATCATACTAACCTCAGAAAACACGCTGCCTACCCCACAATGCCAAGGAATTACGCATTGCATGTGCTAGAAGAGCAGATCACCATGCCGCCTTTCTCCAACGTCGTTGTTTCCGTTTGCACCGAAAAAAACGAAAACTTTGACAGTGTCGTCGAGGGCGATCCACCCCCTTTTTTGAACCGTTAGATTTGCGCCGGAAGAGGCATAGCTGAGCAGCATGACAGCAAAGCAAAGGTGGTGCGGACAAACTTCAATCAGTAATATAGGCACCTAAACTGTGGTACGGCGGTCGCCTTCATCGACGAATTCGTGGAGGCTAGCAATTCATTCGCCCTCTTCGATGCTGTCGATGCTGCTTCGATGAATCGAGGTGCCGAACCAGATTTTGATGTCAACCCGAGCCTTTCAAAGTGCAAGCAAAACCAGCTCAAGTCCCTGCTCTCGCAATTCAAAGACTGCTTCTCATCATCATCGCGAATTCAACAAACCCTAGTTGTGAAACATCGTATCATAACAGAAGAAAGTGCCCGACGAGTTCAACAAAGCCCGTACCGAGTCTCGATGCGCGTACGCGATGCCGTAAAGAAACAAGTCGAAATTCTAAGCGATGACATCATTCAGCCATTCAAGAGCCCGTGGGCGTCGCCCACCGTATTGCTAAAGAAGAAGAATAGGACCCTACATTTTGGGTGGATTACCGACACCTGAACAAAATCACAAGGAAGGACGAGTACCCTCTCCTACATATAGACGGCGCACTGGACTTTCTCCACAATGCAAAGTACTTTTAAATGCAAAAACCGCTCGCCCGCCCGCCCGCCCATCTGGTTATATAAGCATCTGCAACTCTTCAGCATATGTCTGTGCATGCAACACTTGTAAATATATTTAGCGTCATTTCATGACATGTCGCTCAATAAAAAAAATTGCAACACGGTCACCTTCCCTCCGCATGCT